AAAGCTTGTCAATTTGATTGAACTTGTCCATCAAGACATTGCAATAATTAGTAACAATATTCTTCAGCAGAACGTTCATTATGTCTCCTTCATATGTGAGCGCAACAGCAGAAACACCAAAGTTAGGAGGCTTTTGGGAAACATCACTACGCACTTTATGTATGTCATTTTTGTATCCAGAACTAACTATGCATATTAACGACTGTTGTGTATGAAAAATTTCAAATATATTTCAATTGAATCCATATAAACTCATTTCATCATGTTGGTGAACAATATTGAAAAATGTTGAAATTTAAATAAAGACGTAAAACATGTAAAAATGTAATATGAAAATAGGTTCATAAATAAACATGCATCTAATTATGTTTACGTAAATTTGTGTCTACTGGTTTTCAGATTTTTATGTATACATATATTTTTTTGGGAAATTTAATTTCAGACACAATTACATAAAAGCATCCTTGTATGCAAAACCTACACCTCCAAAACCAAACTAAAATAGTCCATTTTAAAAATTTTTAAAAAAGCTTTTTCTTTAGTTAAAAAAGAATCCCAAAGCAGACTGGGGAATCTGTTTTTATTTCCCACATTTTAAAAATCTATCAAACTGAGTCTGAATTTTTGGGGGCTAAATTGATTTTAAAGCTTTCGAATCACGTTGGATATTTATTTTTCACAACGGTTCAGGGTGTATACACCCTAAAAAGTTCCCCTTCTTACCTTATTTTAAAAATTATTTTTTGTTCTTTTGGATCATTGAGTCAAGCATTTTTACAGTCGGTCGAGAATCGCAAACCGGTGCTAGTGGGCTTAATGGTTGTTACACCGTTTCATTATCTATCATGTACCGTCTTAATCAAACTAAGACTGCAATTTCAATGAAATTTTGAATTTTTTAATGCTGCTTAGTGAAAACTTTTTTCTAGATATATATGCAAAGTTTGAAGTAGCAAACAGACAACTTGTAAATAACACCTGTAAAAGACATTCTGTATACTTGAAAACAATTTTATTAATATATAACAACTGACATAAATTTATCAAGGCATATATGTATTTCACCCAGTTGTAGAAAGGAATAACAGTAAAATAATTTATTCTTAATAATCATCGTCAAAATGCTTGTTTGCAGCATTAGTAAAATAAGTGTTTTCTTTAAAATGATTTTTTCCGAGAACGTGAATTAAAATGAATGATATAACATGGATTATATACATGAAAATTGTTTCTGTTTTCTATGATATTATATGTTTAACAGCTGCCATACAAACTACGGAGATTTTATCAAAAGATGTGAAATTGAGTACGATGGTCATGAGGAACCCGTAAAAGTTTTTGTTCATCCGAAACTGGAATGGCATATGTAAAATTTCCCGTCAAGCCAGGACATTGCTGTTACAATCTACTCGGAGAGTTCGACTTGTGCTGGCGTTGCCAATAGATGTCATCCAGCTCAACCGTTCTCAGTCAATGGTGACGTTTGCAAGGAAATTTATAATTGAAACATTTTCATTTTCAAAGCATAATATAAACACCTGAAAATAAGTTAAGCACACCATGCATTTTGCCTCAATTTTGACAGGACCACAACTGAAATTTTAAATCTTATTTGGGCAATGGTACGACAACCTTTAATGGAACCGGCAACAACTGGAACAAGCTCTGCACCAAGAATGATAAAAATATGTCAAAATTGCAATAGACGCCTTTATTGGTAGTAAATGAGAAGAAAGGGTGAAGGCTTTTCATCCGGGCACGGTGGGTTTACACACATTACTGTTATTAAAACTTTGGCTACATAATGTCTTTTTTAGGTCACGTAACCGTCAAACATTTTTCAAATATATCCACCAGTAAAACGCTCCAACATCATATTTATAACCTTTTACATTTTTGGTAAAAAAACACACATTTGCTTATGTCTCAATAATTTGGTTAAAAATAAAGTAAACCCATAAATTTACTAGTTTACTATTACTAAATTGGTAACGCTAATTATTAAATTACTATGTCTAAGCTCAATTAAGTCGTCATCTTATGGCAGCGCTTTTAATCACAAGCATTTTTAAATTTCCGGTGTATGCTTAACTTATTTCCAGGTGTTTATATCTGTAGGGAATAATAGTTGTAAAACATTGTTTATTAAAGATTCTATGATATGAAATACCCTTCGATTTGAGTTTTGAAACATTACAAATTAGCGATTCTAGTTGTTTTGGTTTTCCCTTTTCCCCATTTTTATTTATTTATTTATTGGGGCTGGGATAGGAGGAGAGCATGTTGGATGTTCAGAGCTTCGTTTAGTGTTGCCGTTCACATTCAATGTAATTCTAACTATTTTTAGTCCTTCCTTATATCCTCACCAATTTTAACGAAATACCGGTTTAATGTGTTATATGTTTTATTATCATCGAATGCTTCTTCAAACTATGAAATGTTTCATGAAATTTATAGACTTTATCAATCATGAGAGATAACTGTGACAGACAGTTACATATGAAGCTCTAATATTAACCTCCCTTTGCTTTCGTGTTTACATATATTATATTTTGGTGTTAGTTTGGTTTCTCAATGCACCAACACAGTATGTGTGTGTGCGTTCGTGCGTGTGTGTGTGTTGTCGATGGTGTTGTTGCTGTTGTTTTGCTCTCTTTGTTGTTCTTTTCTTTTTGTTGTAAATGTATAATTTTATCTTTGATGTTGTTATCATTTTTTGAAAACGGTACAAAACACATACATCAGCAGAGAACAGAGCAGAAATTTTATTTCGTAACGTATACAGTACAGTATCTTGTTACATTACACATATCAAATATAATAAATAGATAAACATGTGAGAGAATTCAAAGATTTATAGCATATTGGAGAATGAACATATATTGCTGCAGAAAAAGTAAATGAATATCAGACTAATTTCATTTTAATACTAACATTACTAGCGAAATCTAAACGTACACAATATCTATGAAAATATAAAAAAAATGTTTTAACATTACATTTATATATAACCTAAGTTTATCAACATATCTTTTCTTTTGCTATTTGCAAAATAAATGAATTTACATAAATTCAATTATACAGACTTTTCACAAGCCTAGAACGTTATTAAACATACTAGGTTTTTTATATTATTATTTTAAATGAATTCAGTGCGTCTTTCCTGGTACAGATTACAAACAGGTATAAAATGAAATTCGTCTTCAATATCTTGTGTATTACCATATGCGCTCATGTCGTTCATGTCTGTTTCTACCATATCCACCAGATAGTATTCTCAAATTATGCGCAGATATTCTGATATCTGATATTTAAGATTTAACTTCCAATTAGCAAAATTTCAAATGTAATCTCTCTGTATCTTTAGGTTAAGTAAATCCCCAGACTGGACACGCATTATTTATGATAGCAAGGACAAAAGCATCAAATAATTGCGAGGAAACAGGAGAGATATTTCATATTAATTACTATTGCATATTACGATATTCATTACTTTCAGAGCTTTACTATAGGATATTTGGTTGCGGAGTACAAAGGACCTAGTGTAATTAAATATTATACCCACATCAATAAAACCGTAAACAATTTCTTAAGCTTCATTGTTATAAAACCAACGTCTATGAGGAAAAACTGGTCTTGTACTCCGAAAAACAACTACTTTAGTTTTGCTGTATTTACGTCTTAGCCCAATAAATTACAGTATCCATATAAAGAGTTTAATATTTGCTGTTAATCCTCTTGTGAGATACCAGTTATCACCATATCATCAGCAAATAACAATATATACATGTGTCAAATATATTCATTCCACAATCGACGGAGTTTTGTAAAAATAATGCTAGGTCTTTTAAATACCGTTCCGAAACTTTTTTGAACAAGACTAACGTTAATTAGTGCAATTTTATTATATGAGTAAACTTTCAGAAACGAATGCTTAATGTTGTTCATCACTTGCTTCTTGTCGCTTTCCGTTTGGATTGTTTTGCATCCAGACAGGGATTTTTCATACTTTCAGTTTAAGTTTCCTCTTTCTGTAATTGATCAGGGTATTCCTATGTGGCTAAGAATCCAACTAAATTCGCTTGAGTAAAATTTTAAGTTTCTTAAATTGAATATACAGAGCGTAATCTAGAAAATAAATCAGTTTCTTAAGATTATGGCCTGAAATGTTTTGCAATGCCAAATCAAGATCTTTTGATTCAGCAGTGAAGACAGCTTTCAGATGCTTTTATTTCATATGTAAAATGATTTTTAAAGACGGCTGCTGACTGCACAAACTTTGCAATAATGCTTTTAGTCGTCCGTGTCAATATCTTTCTTTGATTTTTGGAAAGTCTTTGTTGAACATTCCTTGGGAGAATTACATGTTTAATTTTAATTAATCTTAATTTGTTCATGCGTTTTATAAAGTTGAAAGACTAGAAATAACTTGCAAATATGTTTGACCTTTTTAAGAATATACACAAAACGTGTATCAAATATAGTTAAATAAACAAGAGAAACGCGCTACGCATGCACACCCGAGCACGCAAACCATTTTGCGCATGTACAGATACACCATTTTACGCATGCATAGATACATCCTCGGATAGAAAACGATTCTTCTTTAATCAGTCAGAAACCATTAATCGTTGTGTTTTCCCTAATTATTTTACATAAAAAAACTCGTATGGTTGAGAATGGGACTGCTTCACTGCGTTAAACTTCAATATCTGCAAACAATACTACTGTTGATAAATTATGACATAAAATTGATATATATGTCAAGTTCCCAATATTGTTTTATATCGTTTCGCGCCTTTTTACTTTTATTTTTTTTACATCTGCATGTAGGTTAAATTTCTGTACGAAAAAAATATTTGCTTAGAATGAGAGTTATTAGTAAATAACTGACACCAACAGTTAATATAGCTGATACCAAAAGTAAATATAACTGACACAAAAGGTAAATATAACTGACATCAAAGTTAAATATAACTGACACCAAAAAGGGTAGTTATTTAAACTGTTTTATGAATAAGAATGCCAGAAAAGCTGTTAACTGCGAATGAGGTTTCGCCTAAATTGTCACTGACGTCACAGCTATTTGTACATTTTACCGATACTTCGTTTCCTTTTTCAACCGCTGTGATTGCATCAATGGTATAACATTTCCACCACGATTTATCTCCTATAGCTGTTTTAGAGATGAGTCTACCATTAACGACGATTCCAGCATATACCTTCATGTTACCGTTTATACAGACCTGTGCTGTAAACAGATATAATCCACTAACGGGTGCCACAAACACACCAGTGTCTTTGTTATAAGCATCGCCAATGTTGATAATAATATTTGAGTAGACAAACACCTTGTTGTTTTCTAACGATTTATCAGTGACTGTGTCTGCTTTGAATGCAACAATTGGCGTAAATGTCAAATCTGAAAGTAAATAACGTATTCAACATAATCTTAACATGTTAGTCAATATTGTGCATATTTTGTTATTTCTGGATAATATCAAATTGTTATTTAAACCTATCTTATGAATTAAAACGCACCCCCAGGTAACTAAAAAACAATCTTGGTTATCTATGAATACAGATTCTGAACTCATCTGTGACTAATGGGTCCATTCAAATAAAAGAAGTAACAGTTAAATAGTAAAATAATTAGCTCGAATACAAATTTAAATATCAATTTATCTAAGTTTAAAATATAAGAAATATAGAACATAAGCTGTCTTAAGCTTTTATGAGGCTGTGTAGAGACTTCGAAGAGTAAGCACCAATTGAGAACGATCATATTTAGTGTTTGTAACCAATTAAATTATTATCAATCAGTTTCAACAGTTTATATTAACAATCTTAGTGAACATAGTTTGCAATATCATTGTATACAGTTCCGAACTTTCAAAGCAAGCATTTCACATTTAACAAAATGATATTTAAAGTAGAAATAATTAATTATGTGTTAAACATATTTTAAACGTTTCCCGTTAAATATGCAAAAAGAAATATTGGCATTTTCAGTACGATTGGTTAATGTTATCTTAATGGATTGTTGTTTGTGCCACGTAAATGGTCTTGGTTATTTTGTTTGGTCAATTGTTTGATATACCCACTTATAATATATTTAACTTGCATCGATAAATAAAATGTATTGAAATTAAATCATGATATATCCGTCATAAGAAACAACTGGATTATTTAAAGTATATTACCCTGTATTTTCTGTACTTCTTTTGAATAGTTATTGATTGTTTCCTCAGTTTTTACTTTCATCCTCTTCAGCTCCTCGTCCATTTTTGCCTTAAGCACTTCAATATCACCTTCTTTCTTCATAAGATCCTTATTGAATTCACTTCTTTCCGTTTTCAGTTTCTCTAAAGCATCGAGTACTCGTTGCTCAGTAAGTTGCATATCACTTTTCATTTTCTCAACTTTCATTTCCTGTCTTATCATTTTTTCTAGTGTCTGTTCTTCGTAATGAAACTTGGAGCAGATTGGCTCTGAAACAGATGGCACAATAGAATGTAATAACAAAATCACTATCAATATGGAACGATCCATCTCTGTGCTCTTCTACTCGCAAACTGATGTTATATCAACCTTGAATTCTCAACAGCAAAATGCTGCTACGAAAGGGGTGTATCAAAGATATTAATAAGCAAATTCCATTCAGTATACCCAGGCTTTCTGCAACCGTTTAGGGCTGCTGTTCAGTGTTCGTTCCGGACAATAATATATAAAGTTGTTAGCATATTATAAAACAATTTTAATTGCATACCAAAAAGCCTCCTGAAAACTTCCAACTGGCCGGCACTCAATTTTCTTTTTTGCGTCCGCCAGGCTATTCATTTAAAAAAAACGATCCTACAGTAATTCATAAAGTATCTAAAATAAGCTGAATAGATGAAAAAACGACGAGAATTGTAGTTGATATGGAACAAATGATATTGAAATACTGCAAAAACTGGTGATATACTTTAGACGTCATATACGTCATGAACCTGTTATGTTATAAGATTCAAATACTTGCACGCGTGTCGCCATATTCAAACCCACAATTAAACAAAAATCATTTCTATTTTTTACACTATTATATTCATAATATCTGCATTTCGTTGAACTTTTTGCAGAACCAATTGCTGCATTTAAATGCATTTTCGTTTTAACATTTAGCTCGATATTTTCTTTTGCTGTAACTGCCTTTAACTTTTTATCGATGAATGGATTGACTTCATATTAAGACACAACATTCCATATTGTTTCTCGACCTTGATCTTTAATTGAACTTGACCGTCGATGCCTTATTGAATTTTGGTTAAATTGTCATAATTTTGTTATTTATGTACCAATTTGATGTGCACTTGTCAAAACAACAGTTGCTACCAAACAAATATTTTAAGTTATTTAAATGTGACCTTGACCTTTAATAGACCATTATTCTCAAGGTCAAATTAATGAAATACTCTTATTTTTCCTGTTATATGCTACAATTTTGTTATTTATAAATGGATTAACTGAATATTTAAACTTATCATATTTTTGGTCAGGACCTTCATGAACATCAATCTAAAATTGATCTTAAATCATATATGGCATTGACCTTCAGGTCGAACTAAATTTCGCTGATTGGCTGTAACTTGGTTTTAAACTAATGAATTATCTTTTTATTTGCACAAAACAACCTTTTGGAAATGACCATCCAAATGATAGAATTTACCTTAAACCTTAAGTTTTAAGCGACATTGTCCATCAATGTCAATCTATTTTTTTACATAATTTTCATACTAATGTACGGATTTAAATTTATACCTGGACAAAAAAACACTTGTGACAAAACCAACATATTGATTTATTCACTATGGCATTGACAGTCAATGTCAAATAAATGAAATTCTTAATTATTCTGTAAAAATGAGCATTGAACCATGTATACAGTTTTAGATGTAAAATTGAACTTTGATATCAGCTGACATAGATAATTTCACGAATTGACCTACTTTGGAACTATGATATCTGACCTAGATAATTTGACAAAGTGACCCTTTTTGTTCTTTGATGTTATGACCATTTGGACATTGAAAGTTTTAGATAATAACTGAAACTTTGACATCGGCTGACCTAAATAATTTGATGAAAGGACCTATTATCTTGTCCTCTGATGTAAGCTATAAAATTTGAATCAAAAAGAAAAAGGAAAAAAAAACTTTTTCCATTATTTTTTTTCTAGAGAATTGTTCAAAACTTTTTATTTATCTGATTTTTGAAAAGGTTAAATGTAAGCGTTTCCGTAGCATGGGGGTTGCTCTTGTTATCCGTGGTATTGCTACGTAACATTCCTTCTTACATTATTTAGATATTTAAAACAAATGTTTATTTTATTGAACCTTTTTTTTATCTCATTACTTGTGAACTTATCTTCAGGGAATTGAGTAGTTTCTACAAAATGGCGGCAAATTGCTGACATGAACGTATACGGATTAAATATTATGTCAAGTCTAACATGTTCAACAGCTTAAATAATGCCCCTGTTTATCTTATAAAGAATTTTGTCATAAAAAAACTTTTCTGTAGTAGTGTTCACATGTAAATGTTTTTTTTCTTTGTGAATTAAGTAGTTTTTATTATTGATATGGGGGTAGGGGCATATGAAAAGGTTCTCGTTGTCTGTAATCTTTAAAGAAATAACAGTCATTAAGGACAGCCCAGTAACTAAGGATATATGAAGCTAAAATAGAAAAAAAAACAGAAAAAGACCATTATTTTCTTGCATGGGAATCAAAATATTCACATTCAATTGGAAATCCTCTACATCTCCTCAAGTACTTTCCAGATTGCACACTACTATATCAAATTTAAGATTTTTCTAGAACTGATCTGATGATTGCATGTGAGGCAGAAGTGCCGGAAAGGATATTATTTTGAAATGGTTTAGTTTTTTAACATTTAAAATGTTCTTTTTTTATAGCATTTAAATCATTTAAATCAAGCAGTTATGTCCATTTATTTGAGTTCATATTGTTTCGTTGATTCTGATTATTTCAAATCTGACTTCAATTTTCTTTCTTTTCTTTCTCTGTCGTTTTCTCGAAAATATTATTACATATTGATTATTACACCATCATGACAGTCAGAAACGAGGCTTAACATAAGCTTCTAGTTTTCTCCTCTATTCTGATAGATAATCTGTTAAGTACATTTATTAATTTCTGTATACATTGTAGATTTGTTTTAATTTTGAATCTATCTGTAAATATTTACAGTGAACTTTGTATAATATATTATGTTAGCAATTTATTGAATATATTGTTTAAACCAAATCTAACTTTAAATACCGATTTTTGGATAATATCAAGCTAAATTTTCTCTTATGAAACCTTTAATAGTAGATGAATTCTATTGTTATAACGTCAATGATTCAGATTATTAGGAAAAGAAAATGTTGTTAAAACATTTGGCAAAGAACGTTGATAAACTCAATTTAATATGAAAAAGTCTTTTAAATCCAGTTGCTTGATTTGTTTTAACCTACAAAGTGGAATATAAGAATTTTGACAAATTTTAAGAGACAATTGTGGATATAAAACTAATTTGTCATATTTATACATATCTGACTATTCTCTGAATTCTCAAATCTTATTAACCTTTTCATTTAGACAACATACAGCCAGGCTTTTGGTCTTTTATAAGAATGAAATATATCGGCCGCTTTGTAACAACCCCGTTTATTCAAGCAAAATAGGTTAAATTTTGGCAGTCAATCTTTACTGTTTAAAAATGAGGAAACGTTATTAAGTTTTATATATTAAAAATTGTTGGTCCTGTTTCATAATTGTTTGATTTACTGAAGACTGTCATAATGCGGTGTTTCCAGATACCAATCAAGTTGAAGTTTTCAAGAACTGCCAAAAGTAAAAACAGATAATTAGCTTTGATGCGTTTAAAGATAATATAAATTAGGAAGTTAACTTCAACTTACCATAGAAAAAAACAGAAAGATATGAAAAGGTAATTGGGAAGGGTTCCAATGAATATGTTGTAGAAGATCGCTGAAGGTGATTTAGTAAACACAATAACTAAATGCAATATACCATCGCAAATATAAAAAAATAGCCGCAATACTTTGCGCATTGTTAATGTTATATGTATATGTACATCATTCATTTGTATAAAATGCTTTTTTATTTTCATCACTGCATCGCTTAAACTTAGAGACTTGTTCTTTGCTTTTTAAAAGCTGCATAATCCAAAAATGTATTATATGTCATTCTTAGCTGGATTTAAGTGAATAGCTTTGCAACGCTTTTCAATGTTGGCTCATTTTTCACAGTTATAATACTTGTCCTGGGAAAACGGGGTTAGAATTTTGCACACAAGTTATAAGTCTAGACCTTCATCAAATGTCAAAAAACCTCAGTACATGTAACTTTTCGTCACAAAAGGGGGACAAATGTCCAGGTCAAATATTCGTTTTACGTAGATTTTTCATCCAGCAAAGTTGAAAAATGAAAAAAGCCGCACACGGCAACATTGAAAAGACACGGTTTCTTTGGCCTGTTCATGTATGCATCGTACCGTACACGTCTTTGGCCCTGGCTGATTTCAAATAGTAGATAGGGAAAACACAAAACGCCGCACATGGAAAAATTAAAAAGACATGATTGATTTGACCTGTTCATGTATGCAAGCCCAGGCTGATTTCAGATAGCAGAATATGAAATGTTGTTTCATGTAGAATGCGGAAGGCGGTCACTTAGAAGCCTTTGTAGCGATTACACGTCAGTGCATGACTAGACGAGCGGCGTATGGTCACCATGTAAAAGCATGTGAAGTACTTAACTAATTTTTGGAATAATTTGTTTTTGCATACACACTAACAATCTTGATATTCTATCGTTAAGCCTTTATTAATAGCACTTATCTTATACTTTCACTGCTTTTATTCACATTGTTCGTTTTTTTGTTACTTATTAATTTTAAGATATAATCATTGCAACAGATAGCATTATCTTTTTAAATAATTTGGCAAATTTAACAACGTTTAACTTTACTATGGCGCTATAAACAAGGGATTTCGATACCTGGATGTTTTGACATAAAAAAAAATAATCCTAACTAAAATCAACAAGACCTGCAATGTAAAGATGGACATCCCCATCCCCGATTTAATTCTATAATTTTGAACATCTATTACTGTATATCAAATGCGGTAGTATTTCGTAATAAAATAATTACCGTTTGCTTACATTACCAACTTTGTTTATAACAATAAAAATCACTGGTTTGTGTGTACAGACTAATCAAATCAAGTCTAAAATTTTCATGCTATTTTGTTGTAATTTGTTGTAATTTATGCTTCTTTTCCAGATTTGTGTTATGTGTTTTTGTGGAGGCAAGGAATCGTAAGTCTGGAGTTTGGATGGATGATTCGTCTAATGTGTTTTGTATCAATAACTAATATGTTTATAATTACATTGTTTACCTCTTTGGAGTTTGACTGACAGGTGTCACACATTAATGACACCGTTAGGTGGTTTCTAGTCCCGGATTCTATCTGCGTAATAAGGCAGATGGCCAGTTTTTTATCATGGTGTATTTCGTTGTTACAATTAATCTAAGACTTAACAGAAGAAGCATAACATCGTTAGCAGGATGTTGGTATGGTTTGCCAGAATTTCTATTAAGCAAATACTTAATTAAAGAAATATGTCTGCGTATTTATAAACTTTTTGTAGAAAAAAGTAAGTAAGAGTTCAAAATAGAAAAGAAAACACTGACCATTGTACATTTAAGGTTCAAATAATTGTACAAAAAGGCTCGAAAACTAAATTTGAAATTCGTTCATAGATCATGCGATGCACTTAAAATGGATAAAACTCTTCAAATCATGATAAAGAAATATGATCGGAGTAAAATTAAAAATCGATATATTGCATTATTTAAGTGAAAGTAGTTGCAATGCTTTTCATTTTTTGGCCATTTTGCACAATAAAAATACAATAATTATTCTGGGAAAACGTAATACTGGAATGAACCAGACTTCCATTAACGGGTACACCAATCGGAACTCATCGGCCATAATTCATAATAACCTCGGACCTAATTAATACAGATTAAAGGTAGTTTTTTCACGTGGTTTTAGATCATGTACAAAAATCTTTGATAATGTATAACTAATATGTATATTTGACATCCAAAGGAAAAGTCTGCTGTTTCGGTACGAATCATGATTGATAATAAAATTATGTCTGACAATCATAATCAATTTGAAAATACCAGCTGATCTTTAGTTATAAAGAAATTCGACTTTAAGTCAAGAGGTAGACATTTTGTACTTTATTTTACTTGTATATAAATAATAAACTGTCTAAATTCATTTAACATCGGTGAAATTTTACTTTTACTTGATATATTTGAAAAAGCTAAGTCAACAACTCCCAGCATTAAATTTCTATTTGTTTGGAGACATGTGTTTAGTTTCTTAGCGTAGGTTAGATGGAAATACCGTATCCGTTCGTCCTTATCCGGAGTTTGACGGAAAGGGCCGAGAAGATGCGTTTATTTGAACACAAGTGCCGAAAGAAAATTCCAGTCCCTTCATGTAAAAAAACTCAATGGATCCCCCTAAAATGCGTATGCTATGGTATATATTGCAGATTGAAAATAACATAACATTTTTTTTTTTACATTGATGTTATAACATGATAACGTAAACATTTAGGTAAAAATAGTTTGCAGCACCGTCCTTGTTTTCGAGTTGTCTTAAAAACATGTTTTGTTGTTCGATTTAAAAATATTTTTTGGTTTTTTAAGATTTAAAAATATTTCTAGGTGGCTTATTTTTTCGGAAATCTTTTTCCTCAGGCCATCTGTAGGCATATAGCTTTGAAAAAGAAATCATCTTTTTTTCCAGCAGTTAATTGAAAACGAGATACGGAAATATGTCACGTGTTTAAGTAGCAATTCAGCAGTTACATTTCAATTAAAAAGATATAAAAGTAACTACCGATATATGTTTACCCTCCGCCTAACAAGAGGAACAAGCCAATTCGTTGAATTTATATCCCCCGCCGAGTACTGGTTTTTACAAACACAACAACTGAAGACATAAGGCTTTATTTATATATTTATCATGACGTGAACAGTAATATTCTTTGAACATAATAAATATTAAGGGCAATAACAGAGCCTTTATCAACTCGGTGTTAAATAGTAATATCTGGGCATGGATATGAGATGTTTGTTGCCTTTTTGTATCTATGGTTCAAATACAGTTTAGTTGAAATCAATACAGCAGTTGCAAAGAAATAGAAATATTGCTCTATATGCATAGTACATAACTAATCAAGGACCATAACTCTGTAATGAAGGGTCTGGTCTGAACAAGGCAACAAATTATGCACATCTCATCTTAGTATTGAAGGTTCCCATAAAGTTTAATTGAATTCCAGCCAGTAGTTGCAAAGAAGTAGCGTGGAAACAGTTATTGGCTCAATACGCATATTGCATAACTAATCAAGGGTCATAACTCTGAGTTAAAGTGTCTGACCGGAACAAGGCGACGAAATGCGCATCTCCTCTTGGTAATGAAGGTGCCCATAAAGTTTCGTTGATATCCAGCCAGTAGTTGCAGAGAAGTAGCACGGAAACGATTATTGCTCTATATTCATACTGCATAACTAATCAAGGACCATAACTCTGACTTAAAGTGTCTGACCAAAACAAGGCGAAGATATGCGCATCTCCTCTTGGTAATGAAGGTGCCCATAAAGTTTCGTTGATATCCAGCCAGTAGATGCAGAGAAGTAGCGCGGAAACGATTATTGCGCTATATTCATACTGCTAGCTAATCAAGGACCATAACTCTGAGTTAAAGTGTCTGACCAAAACAAGGCGAAGATATGCGCATCTCCTCTTGGTAATGACGGTGCCCATAAAGTTTCGTTGATATCCAGCCAGTAGTTGCAGAGATGTAGCGCGGAAACGATTATTGCTCTATATGCATACTTCATAATTAATCAAGGTTCATAACTCTGAGTTAAAGTCTCTGACCGGAACAAGCTGACGATATGTGCATCTCCTCTTGGTATTGAAGGTTCGAATAAAGTTTCGTTGAAGTAGCGCGGAAACGAAATTTGGAGGGACGGGTGGACGGACGGAAGGGCGTACGGACAACGCAAAAACAATATCCCCCTCCCGATTCCATCGGCGGGGGATAACAAAAGCTCTAAGAAATAAGATGAGGAAATCAAGTAGGCTACAAGTTCAGATTAATAAGTTCACTTTCCTTGGATGAGTTTGTTTCGTTTTTCTCCTTTTTAATAAGGGTTGTGGGTAGGGTGGGGTGCTAAGTTTGTTTGGTTTAAACATATTTAATCCGATATATTTAAGTTTTTTTTTGCTTGTTCGTTCGTTCGTTCGCTTGCTCGCTCGGGTGTGGGCATTGATGCTATTGTTGTTTTGTTGCAGTTGATTCCAGTTTTTCTAGTATCCCCCTACCAGTGAAAGGCTCCACTTCTCCTTTAATGAATTCCCGTGCATTATATTCACGTTCTATAACCTGAAGTTACTGACCACCAACTTCACCTGTGGTCATGCTCAAATGTCGCTAATTATTTCCAGTCCCGTCATGTAAAATACCTCAGTGGAGACCCATTAAAGCCGACATATAATTTTGTTAAATCGACTGAGATATCTTCTTAGGGTTGTCAAAAAAGGTAAGAGAGCAACTGTATAACAAAATGTTTTGCTTATTAATGCATTTATAATTATCAATCTATTTATTTTATCCTATAAATTTTCTATTCCTTGACAACAATAAATTAAAACAGTTATAAACATACATAACGACATGTAGGGTGGTTATAAACAAATATCCGTTCCATTCCAAAATATCAGAATATCTACACCTTTTGTAAACTATACATGCGTTCCTTCAAATAAAACAGAATAGGAAATTGCGTTTATCATATTTATAAACAGAAGACCTGAGAAAAGTGTCTACACAGATCCGACCCCCATCACATCAAGCTCACGTTTCATTTGACACAATGCACACGGTCCACACAAGGCTGTCACCAAACAGTCATTGCAAATAGATCCCTGCAAAGAAAAAGAAATACCAATAGAAATAAATTGCTATCATAACGTTAATTTTACTTTATAAAAACATTCAAGGCACGTTATGTTTATATTTTCGTTTTTGATCTAAGCAGAATTGACCATATATCAAAAATAGTTGACTATTATAAAGGACATTGACCAATTATTGATAATGAAAAAAGTTCAGTATAAACTATAGCAACTGCCTAAAATCTAAAAAGACTGCTTCACCCATTTCCATCAGTTTAACGTTGACGAAACATTTTGAGGGAATTTAAAAACACTTTTTGTGAATACACATGAACAACTCTATACAATTGAAAACAATTACATGTAAAGGAAAATCTAAAGTTATTTTGACTTTAACCTGTACACCCACCATTTACACTTGAATGGACATAAAGACACTATAAATAAAAGTCTTTCCAATCAGTTACAAATGTTACATAATGCAAAAAAGATAACATGATATGTATTTTGCGGATGCAGTATTAAATCGCAACAATCAATGAAATGATTGTACATTTTTTAATTGAATATAAATCTAAAATATCTAGATAAAAACACTGTACGTAACTTGTCATTAGTTATTACAGATAATAAATTGCTGTTTGTTAAGTTTGGTTTTATGGAGAAGTAACACAATTTATGTCATATGGCGCCAAAACAGGAAAGAAGATTTTGCTAACCTCGGCTGTTTCAAACTTAAAACATCATCAGGAGTTAAAACGACATTACCTACAGGCTACAGGAACTAAGAGATGCATAGGCTCCAGTAATTCAAACCCATTTACTTGCCTCTTATGATCACGCATGGTTAACGGTGGCTTCAATTCTGATGCCTCAACCCTTAAAGGCGATCCCTCAGCCACAAGGGGGTGACAGATAAATTACATAAAGATATGATTATAATGGAAGCATGTATATTAACGGGACATTTTGGTTTGTACACAACATAATCATATGAAATGTTATATAATTTTGTTTGCTAAAATACACTTTTACAGGATATGATGTAATTACAAAATCGATGAAACCTGCAAAATAACAATAAAAGAAGATCTTAGACCGTAACATGCTGCAGATTGTTTTGATTTTTCCACATGGTACATATAACAAGTCAAATATATCTGTAATTATAGCAGAATAAGGCCTACCAAATCGTTTAAAGTGAGTACATGTATCTACAGCAAAGTTAAGTTTCAACAATAATTTAAAATATTGTTTCTTATAAATAAAAAAAGGTTTTGAAACATATTTGTCTATCAGTTATTATACAATTTCAGAACTTTTTGACTTAGTTTCTTCCAAAATATCGAGTTACCCATACTATGTTTGTGAAGTCAACCCAGATATTTTAATTGGTCTATTCAAGTGGTATATTTGTGACGTATTGATAAGGGGCATGACGAGATCAAATACTTTTATTTGATATAGTTCTCCTCCTTGAAAACATGACATCATTTGTTAATAAATCTGAGAAGAAAACAAATCATTTAAAGTACTACCTGAATTCCCCCGAGAGTCCTTAGTCTAGTTCTCATAGTTAAAAGAGCGCCCTGGACAAACAGTGGCATACATAAACATTCTCCAATTCTGGTACCAAGATGACATTGAACACATGGTGCACAGAAACATACCAATGCACCTTAAAAAAGATGATAAGAACTTAAACATGTTACAATTAAATTGTTTATGAAACCTTAACCGGTGGAAATAATTACAATCAGATTGTATATTAAACAGAATTATATGTAAAACACATGTGGACACGAAAAAAAGGAAACACACATGAACATGTACACGAAGTAATATACAATTTTAAATGCCCAAAGCTCCATAGAATACGCATAAAGATGCTCACGCGGAA